CACACACACACACACACACACACACACACACACACACACATACACATACACAAGCATAAACACGCACGCGCACACACACACACACACACACACGTACACACGCAATCTTTTCATGTTTATCAACCGCTACACTTATTATTATTCACATGGTGAGATTTACGTATCAAAAACTTTGAACAGTGAAATTATGATTGATGTATTAGACAATATATAGTGGACGCCTTGGTGATATGGAAATATTTATAGACTTAATTGATTGATTGTGCACAGAATATATCACAACATTTCACATTAACAGTTAAGTACCTAATTTTATTATTTCCATAACTGTGTGCCACAGCCCATATACAATTGATAAGGTTTATCAACCAACTCCTGTTCTATCTCATAAAATCATTTAATATCTACCATATATACATCTATTTCTAAATTTGCAATTTCAACTAGATGATCTTGATCTATTATGTAAAACTGATAACATACATATAGGACATATTTTAGCAAGTGCCTGTAAATGTAGAACATTTGATACGAAAGAAATGCATGTTGAAATACAGTTTCTATTACTTCAATCCTTCTTGGCTCTCCTTTTTGAAGACCCTAATCTTGTCTTAGGGCTGGATGGCTTATGACTCGCTCTCCCCTTTCCTGGACTTGTCACAGCAGATCTACTTACAGTAGTAGCTTCCTTGGTAGTAGGAGATTCCTGTCGCTCAGCAGGCAACTCATGATTATTACAACTTGACGTGACTACTTCATCTTGCTTGGCTGAAATAATAATGATATATAATAGGAGGCATATCAACAATACACATCACATGTAATAAGCATCGAATGAATAGATGATATCACTTCAACTTCATAAAATCTTTTCCCCTTATCCTCTGCTCAACTCTCCCTTTCCTTCTCCCCCTCATTCCCTTCTCGGTCTTTTTCTTGTTCTTCCCTCTTTCTCTATCTCTCCCTATCCCCCTTTCTCTCTCTTCTAGGTGCTGTAGCACTTCCATGTACGATGTTGCATTGAAGAATGTCCCTAGTCAATGCCTGATAAGTGTTGCATACCTGGTTTGGTGTCATTTTTGGTAGCAGGACTTTCCCGTTGCTGCATGTGCAGTTGTTGCATTGCATTGTTTAGCTGTTCCTGCAACCTAGTGACTGTTGATTCTGCCACCTGTGCTCTCTCCTCTGCACGCCTGTTTACACACAAATAGATAACCCTTTAGTCGGATGCAATCCGATATTATTGGTTTTGCTGCAGATTAAATATTTTAATAGTATGATCGTCATTTTATGTTAATGTTATCAAGAGCTAATAGTACCTATTATTAGGTATTATTAGCTCTTGATGTTATCCACAGGATGGTGCCCGATGAGTCTATGCCAGTCGGCTTTTTTGTCTTTTAATGCACAACACATTTATTGTCGATTGTAGGCCTGGATAACTGCAGTTCCTTGGGTCTACAATACATCACATATATAACATACGCACGCACGCACGCACGCACACATGCCTCTTGAAGAGAGAATAGATTTACATATCAGATACACATCATTCATGACATTACAACACAATTTATGGAAGAAAGCCTAGACGTAGTCAACAATCAATACATTGAACTTGGAAGAATAGTTAGATAAAAACTAGTAATTTTGTCTCAAGTTAAGTATCACATGTTTATGAAAAAGAACAACTTACGCAAGCTGCTGCTGTAAGGTGTTTAGAGCGAGCAGTGGCTCATACTCATCAATGTTCTCTGGGTTATTGCTAAGTTTCTGAGGGTAAGTGTTGTCATCCCTATTCAGATACTCTATGCTGGTTTCTTGGCTCACACCCATGTTCTCACTAACCTGGAAAAAACAACAAAGTAATATGGTTAGGAATAACTGAAAACCTATACAGCAACATCGTTTGACATTGTTACTCAGCTTTGATATATGATATACAATACTGCAAGAAGTAAATATCATGAACACAGGTAATCCCCACAGTCGAACGTTGCTGTGTATAGTAACGAACATAGTAAACATAAAAAGGTAGTAAGCCATACATCTAATCCGCTCAAATGTTGTTCGAGTATTTGTTGCTCGCTGGTCATATTATCCTGTATAATTAGCCGTTCCTCCTGCTCCTTGGATGTGTTCTTGTTCAGTAATTGTTGTTGTGAGTCTGGTACTCGAATTTCGGAAGCATTTTTTTCTTCTTTCTCTTCATGGAAATCTGTGTGTGAAATTTTCTCACATTATGTATATTTAACTGGCAGCAACAATTAATCGGCATCAAATGTTAACTCAGTGTCGCTAATATATTGTTTATCATTTATAGTTTTCTAAAATGAGAACGTACATCAGTCTGGTATTTATTATTTTCCTATCAGCATAGTCCATTGAAATTTATCAGTATAAATAGTGCAGTACATAGTGCATAATGACAATACTGATTGTAGATATAATGCATGCACGGCACGCACACATACTTATGAGACCTGTCCAGGCTGCTTTATATTATAGGTTAAGGTTAAAGGGTTCCAATTGTTGGCTGTATGATGAATTATATACTGATAGATATCAGGAATAGATAATAGGGTATTCCCTATTATCTACTCCTGATAGATATACTACAGACTTAAATCCTAGCTGACAGCAGTATGTGTCACATAACAGTACTAAATGTGTCTGCTCACCAGGCTCACTCATTGCGCTTGTGTCTTGATATTGTACTATTGACTCGTGTGGTTCTTGAGGTTGTGCTAAATTCGCTGGCGGCTCGTCATGATCCGTGATGCCAGTAAGTTCCGTGAGCAGAAGCCCAGCAGTGTGGATCCAATTTTCGGTCTCTGTCTGAATATGAAAAATTGCATATTGACATTCTAACTGGTTCTCATATTCATATTCTAACTCTACTTGGTAGTGTACAATAGGTTACTGAATTGCCTAGTTGTTATAGGTCAACGTTATGTTGATAACTTTGGTACGTTACTCGTGGACAGATTAGCAACACTGTGATCTTGGGAAGAGTTACAATAGCATGACTGCCCACATTTTCCCATTACCCTTGCTCAGTTTCGGACCTCACAGACAAATCTGACAGTCAACCACAAAACGTATTTTAGCATACTATGGGCACTCCTAAATAGGGTGATACTGAAAATTAGCTTATTTAGGAGACAGTCTTCATTCAGTGGTAAGCCTGATCGATTAGCTAGTGAGAATGTTTGTAACTTATAAGACTTGTTATGTCAGCAATCACATATACCTTTAATCTCGTGAGATCTTTCAGGTCAGATTCTGCATCATAATCGGTGAGACCATTCTTGTATTCTTTAATCATCTCCATTACCATACTAGTGCAGCACCTAAAGTATAGAAACAGACTTTTATATATTTGGCTAAAAGTACACAACTTGTTTACTATGAAAACAAATACTGTATTATTGTTATTATTATTATTATTAGTATGGGAGAATGGTCCACGGCAATAGCTTTTCAAATACCGAAGATTTCTAATATTTTACTCAGTGTGAATTAGACAGTGTATAACTCAATGTACTCGTTCGTACCTGATGTGAGAAAAACTACCCGTTTTTCTGTTAGTATTTGACGAGTATTGGATAGTAGTGCACAGTGTGATTCATCAAAAAATGTACCTAGTGACACAGCTACAGAACTCCTCGAGTTTATTGTAGAGATGCATGACACTGCTGTTTAGTTGTTCAGTGCTGGTGGTAGCCAACATGGCCATCTCGCATGCCTCGGCAGACGTTCCCTCCTTATTAGGTGCCAGCCTCAGAAGCAGCTGAACTAGCCAGCGTACCATGTCCGTGTGAAGTATAGACACCTGTCGACAGCTACATGATCAGTGACTGCCAACGAGGCAATTAACCAATCGTACTTACAGAAACGTTATATTAACGCACACCTAAATTTATCGCTAGTGAAAAACATGTGATTCCGACAAAAATGTAGGTCACTGGTGGGTGGTATCTTTAAGGACTTTGTGATTATCAAATTTCTCAGTCTACCACTGACTCAACATTTTCAGCCCATAACAATATATAGGGAATTCATACATCATCTAGAAGCCTGCCATCATCGCTGTCAATGGCGTTTGTTGAGGAAGTCAACCATTTTCGTGTTTCTTCTATTACACTCTTTAACTCCAGCCTGTAACCACCAATCACCAATTATTTGAGCTTCGTTCATCTATGGATAAAATGATCTTAGTCCCATATAATCTTGCAATGCTGAAAAGACTATTTGGGAAAAATGTCTTGCACTAAGGCGGATCTTCTTTAGAATCTAATGTTTTTCCAGTGCTATTTGGCAATACTCACTCCACTTGCTCCTCTCCATTCTTCTGGTCTTCATTAGCATTTACTTGTACATTTTTTGGTGTTTGTTGTAGGTCTATACAGGTGGCTAGCCACTCAGACATCAGCCCAAAAAACCTCAACCACTCTGACTCCGACAGTGTGTTAGCCCCGTTTGCAATGGCCATTAGTCTGCAATAAAATTTTGAAACATTTTCATATATAATAGGATGCATGACCAACACAACAGTGATCATTACCAGAATTTTATATGGCAATTACTAATAGATAGGCAGCTGATTGTAATGATATTGCCATATTATGCTAGATATGGCGAGGAAGGGGGAGACAATGTCAACCATGCTGAATAATTTTGGACTAATGGGACCTTACTGATTTTACACAGACCTGTTAACCCAGGTTTCCATTGAATTCAGCAAGTTAATTGTAGATGGCGCCACCCCATTTTCTCCAGAGACTTGCACCTTGTATTGTCTTAGTAGTAGTTCCACAGACTGCAAGATAAAATTCAATCGATTCTGTTATCCTTATTTTTTACTCTTGTATTCTGTGAGGTCACTGGGCTTAGCACCACCATTTCACAGAACAATGGTTATATAATTAAAACATTACACCAGACTAACAATATTTTATGTGGACTATCATTATTAATAGGAATCTACAATGTCCTGAGACTGATACAAATTAAGGGTATATCGATACTATCTAATTATACTTACTTCATTTACAGCTACCATGCGATTGGCATAAGGGTAACCACTTCCACTCTCAGATTGATGCCGGTCAAACACCTTCAGTGCATAGGTAGTCCAACAATCAACCTGCTCTCTGTGGAACAGTTAAAATGTGGGGTCACATGGGGTGGCGTTCTTTTGGGGAGATACGTCACTGCTATGCAGAGACAAACATATAATATGTATAATGCAGGATTAGCTGAGCATAACAGCATTACTAAGCTGGCTCTGTGCATACCTAATACTGGCCAGCAGCTCAAAGCATGCCAGCATGGCATCGCCTGAGAACTGTTCAGTGACTCCGTGAAGCTCAACCTCACATCTGTTCAACCTCTCACACATGTGTTCCACTGCCTCATGCTGTGGCACCACCAAGTGTCCGTCCTTTGTACTAAAATAAGAAGAAACGATATATGTTCATCGGACCAAGAATGAAACAGACTAAATCTGCCAAAGTACATGCAATTCTAACATATGATATTGAGATGATATCCATATCTATCAAACCTATATAAAACTGAATCCCTAAAACTAATTTAAATATATAAGCACTGGTGGAAATTTACTTTAGCAGAAACCCAACATGCTATGAAGGTGGGTAATCATGATAGGTAAACATGTATTTTTCTCATTACTGTTACGTGTTATCAAGGCCTGACACGCCTTGTCATGTTCGTGCACAGACAAATGCTTACTACTGTTTCTCTTTGAAGGTGGCAATTAAATCTGTGAGAACATTCTCAATAGTGACCATGCCCATCTTGAAGCAAATCTCCTGCTGAGCTATCTGGCTGCTGCATTTCTGAATTAGCTCCTTCCACACACCCATGTGCTCCTGCATCCTGTGTGATCCGAAATACAACACAGAAACACAAATTTAGTGACAGTCAAATATAACGGTTTTTATTTGCATAATCTACTAACATGAACACAACTTCAATAATCTCAAAATTTCTAATATCGGTGGAAAAACCATTTGACAATATAGGGGAATGTTTAAAGTAGCTTTTTGAGCTCGGGTTTACTAAATTAAACATATTAAATATAAAAATTGAGGCTAGTAAGTGTTGAATGTCTAACGATTATAAGCCTTGCACATTCCCTCGTATCTACTCACTCCTAAGAGACGATATGCAGATCAACAAAAGGTACATTTAACAGTGACCTTCAGTATATATTATAGTATGTGAATGTTTAACCATACCGACTAGACTAAACTAAAAGTGTGCAATGATATATAGTGCACGTGATAACTCACTTTCCTAGGTGTTCAGTGTCCTTTTCAGTGAGCAAGATGACGAAGTGTTTCGCGAGTTTCGCCCAGGAGAGCTGTGCGACGTGCAGTCGTTTCACTGTGTTCAGCCTGTGCTCATCCGCCACCTGCAAGCGACAAGCACGCCACCTGCTGGTTATAGTTTGTCTGAAACCAAGTGCAGTCTCAGGAAGAATATGCATGCGTGACTGATGTATACTATAGTAATATGCTACATAATTATAGGTAAGAGAAATGTGGTTAATGCTAACTCCATGACATACGTACACACGTACACATGCTGAAGTGAATGTATTAATCTAGTAAGTAGCTGTTTGGCTACACAGTGTATATTTATGGATGTATTGGTTTTAGCACATTACTGGGGCAGATGGATGGATCTCAAGAAAAATTTAGGTAGGAAGGCACACAGCTAGTCAGACAAATAACGTGTGTGATATAAAAAGAAGAAAAGAGAAACCACAAGCTTTACCTTCAGACTAAGCCAGTGAGCGGCTGATGACCAGAGGTTTCTCTCCTCTGTGAGTGTATCAACTTGGAATTGCAATCGTCTTCTCTGCATCTCATAGAGCTCATGGTACTCATCCAGCAAGCTTCAATCACACAAATACAACAGCAAACCATGTACTATAAACAGTTAGATTTACAAAGACGTCACACTAAAAGTTCATTACCACATTCATGTTATGGAATATATAGGGTTAAAGCTATGTTTTTCCAAAGATTAAATACAATAAGGCTGCTGCCGAGATCTATTTATCACAGACATTTACTTAATATAAGAGCCTTCTAAGAGAGAAATACCTGGAATTTTTCAGAGCATCTGCCAATGCTGATTTTAACTCATGTTGTGTCTTTTCACCTTCCCGAGTAGCCTGCCGGTCATGTTCCTTGACATTTGCTAGTTCACTGATGTACACAAGCAAAAAGGCAACATGATTGCACTACACCCCCACGAACTCACTATCATATGTTTGATCCTGTTATTTTGCTTATTAAGAGATGATATACAGGTAAAATGTATAAAACTTGTCTGTGAGACGCACACATGCCAGAACAACACTGAATGGAGCAAAATTGCAGTATGGAGCTAATTCTACTTCTACGACCTATCCAACAGAAGATCATGGAGAATGCAGATGTATATATTTTGACTATACGTAAAAACTTACTTTGTGAGAAGGAATATTGTGTTCTTAAATTTCGCTAGTTGTTCGCTGAGACGTCTATCCAGGGCTCTCTGTGCCAGTAGCTCCTCATGTAGACTGTAACATACAAAAACATGAAGCAACTGGAGCCAACACGATTGTCTCACAGCTATAGAAGCACTGGAGAATATAAGCAAGTGAAATAATTTGAAATAACTAGTGCTGCAGACTCAAAGTGACATGCAAGCTCCCATGACAGTACTGGGCCCCACTGCTGTGACCGGTACCCAGTGCAGTGCCTACTGCTACATGATGACATGGCACAGTGGTGAAACGGATTTACAAAAAAGACTGAATTGTACTCCCCCATTTCCTGTCCATGACCCTTAACCTTTGTACACCTGTTCCGAACAGACCCTGTCATTTTTATTGCCTTCCCCCGATATGATCAATGTGAACACAAAGATAAAGCCATTTAGATATGTGCCCCCTGCACATACATAGGAATGGATGCGATTGCCATTGTGCTATCTGCACCCGACAACGTAAGTCCATAACAGCTCAAAAGTATGAACAGATATTCTGCATTCATACAGTAAAGTAACTCATTTAGGTAACACATCACATCACAACACTCTTGTGCATTATTATACTTCATATCTTTAAATGAGTTAAAATGACACTAAATCAGACTATGCATCACAATGACCCTTATTTGGTATACACATGACACCTACAATTACTCATTTGCATTGCCCTAGGTCAATTGTTACATGTTTTCTTTTACTTATGTCCACTATTATAACAACATATAACATGATTATTACCTCATTACACGTCTGGGGACCCTGTCCATAAGCTGGCTGTAACTCTTACGTATATCTGCTAAAAGTTCTCCTCTCTCGATGCATTCTACACTGACCTGACATAAAAAACGATTGCACTGCATGTTCACCACATTATGAGCAACTGAGAGCGCTCTTGGGTCAGTAGTAAATTGAAAAAAACCGTAAATGTGCAAACCAATCATTTAAAGATTCGTATACTATACTTTCACAGAAACATCTATGCCTTGAAATCACTATTACCTGCCTTATAATTTCATGAAATATAACGTTGTAAATATCCTGCTCCTTCTTCAAAATGTTGATGAGACAGTGAATCTGAAAAGTAAGCCCTAAAATGTATCTATACAATTTTAACTAGTCTAGTATAATTAATTATTATTAACTAGTATATATACATATATATATATATAATAATATACATATATATATACTAACACTCATGACTATTTTAATTTTGACAACTTCAAAACACCAAAGAAACGTAACAACAAAAAGTGACATCTTTATAGTCTTCACTCAAATAAAGGCCCATATTGGACTTCATTTTTTTACTGAACATGATTGAAGAAAGTAAAGCTTTCTAATCAATGATGGACCTGAAATATTATGCCTATACCACCAGATAATGGATGAAAATAACATATATTTCTATTTATATGCTGTATATACTCAATATAAACATCTAATGCATAAACCAATAATTACAAAATACATTTCTAACTTCATTATACGTAAGCGCTGTTCATGCCTATAATATGTCTAGTTGTTCATATAGTCTGTTCATGTCTAGAAGATTAGGTAGAAAACAGGTCTGATGGGTTTTACACACCTGGGATGGTCCCTCAATTTCTTGATCCTGCTCACTCTGCTTTATTCCTGCATGTTCCAACATTTGCATCATCGTCCTCTTCAGCATGATCACTTCATGTCTACCTGTAGGTCGCCTGGCCAACAAAATTTCATCGCCTTACAGTCTGGTTACCAATTCTACTATCTGCACTCACAGCCATAGACGAGACAAGTGGGATTATTATAATGTATATATATATCACATAAATTCGCTATATTTGACAACCATCTGTTTTCCTTAATCAACTCATGGTACATGCATACCATCAAATCAGGTACTTATCATTGGAAAGCTTCCCCAATTGATTAAATGTGACTATAATATTCCCAAAACGACACTGTACAATTGAACAAATCAGAGCTTACATGGATGGGAAAACCACCTGGTGTAAACTATGTTCCTCACTCTTGGTTGTATATTTGCTAAAACAAAAAATAATGGAATTAATATAATATTATGTACGTGTGTAATAATTATAATGTAAACTCAATTTATGTATAACTAATATTATAGCTTAATTATAATGCAATTATTTTACCATATTCTGACATATCTAATTGTCATATTTATGAATAACTATCACTTTCCATGATTACAATACATATAACTGGGACAGTTACATAAAAGGTCATTCTTTTTATAGCCTGAACTATTAGCACAATCTACAAACCAGACCTAGTCAATTTCTTTGTTCTTGCCTGTTTAAAACACACATCTGTACACACACAAGTAGTCATATACACATGCACTCCAGTGCTTACCAATCCCTTAATTCCAAAGGCAACACTCCTCTAGACTTAACAATATGGTATTCACTCGGAATCAGTGTATCTGGTATCACACGGCTACCCTGTCGATAGACACATATAGATCACTCTTTCATTAAAAAATAAAATAACACAAACAGTGACCAGTTAAATTAAATAATTATAAGAAATGGAAATGTTTTAATCTAATAACTAACAAGGTGCAACTCCACATACGTACATCATCTTGCACGACAGCCAGAGCATCACCATCAGTTACAGCCTCCTTGTCATAAAGGAATGAAATATCCCTGTAACAGGCATAACCTGCACATGTAATCTGCTCATGATACAGCAAACCTATTGGTAGAGGTATAAGTGTATCCATGTTTTTGCCTGCATGCTATTGTTAAAAACGCCATTATAAGAAAGTTAATGCAAGGAATTATTAGAGGTAATTTATAACATGTAGATGAAAGTAAAATTTGATACTACCCTACTACTATATAACACATAAGGTGTATAAGAGGGCTAAACTGACACTATGTGTGCAATTGACCTAGATCCATCTGAGCAAAATATAACCATGCCTCCTTTTGTGTTGTTGTATTGCGTTTCTGAAATGCTCCCATTGCAGCAACGAAAGATTAGTGCTACTTGTCAATCTGTCCATGTGGACATAGTAATTAGTGAGGTCAGGATATTACAGAAAATATATTTGTTCCTAGTTCTATATTTTTGTTGACATACTTGCCTGCTCCACATGAACAGATAGTGCTGTCAATTAAATGCTTGAATTTGCATCGACGAGATGGGAAATTCCATACATTGTCCAGCTTCTTTAACGTCGCCTATTAAAAATGTTTTCACAACTATAAGTGATAAAAATACAAACGTAGTACTCTACAGTAGAATGTTTGTTGTAGACATAATTATTATGTAAGAATAAATGCAGAGGTTGAAAATTAAGATTCCTTGGATTGGTGAAACTACAATTATTGCAGTGCCACAAAATTTGATGCACAAGCATGATGGTACCTTCACACTACAAAGAATTTGAGTTGTACACATCAGAGGTTTGTGGTTCCAATGGGATTGTGTTAACCATAATAACTTATATAACTGCTATACGGTATTAATATCAGGAGTTCATGAATATAGAGTTGATCTTTACCAATATGTATAAAAATCTCTAATCATGTACTCCTGTTAATAGCATGCAACTGTATAACTGTCACATATTTACAATAAAAACATCTCTATCTTACACATTTGCCTAAATTTCCAGGACCAAGATCATTCTCGATGGTACGTTTGTGTGGTTTCTTGAGGGATAGAATGATACTAGCTGGTATGCAATCAGTTTCCGTTAGTTCAGGTGTACTTCTTTCTTCCATGTCGCTTGCTCTGCAGCTGTCATCATGTTTATTGTCGTCCATTTTATAACAATCTAAATAGAATAATGTAAGGTTAACATGAATTAATTAATAATTCACAGCTATAGCCTGCGAACCTACACATCAAAATTAACAAATAGTTGATTGAAGCTGGAGCTCTACGGTCATCTGTATATCGGTAGGCAGGTTACATACTAGCTAAATGATCAGCCTCCATGGGTGTTACATGAACATATGTATACTATAAATATGCAATGACAATATGGTGCACTGTTAGCAATGAGTAGCACAATTTAAGTAATACATGAGGTTGCTCATACTAGTACGCAGAGTAAGGTCATCTTTTAAGGTTGATGCGCTGTGTTACGATCTTTCTATTTCCTTAGTAATGTAAACCTACATTGCATCACCAAAATAATTCTTTAAACTTTTAGAGAACAGCAGGAGAGTATACACCAATTTTTAGGAATGACTTATCGAGTTATATCCAGATCTAAACCTTTAAATCTAAATAACACTAACAGCAATGTAAAGTACGTGTTATGGTAAACCGACCAGGCTCTCCGACTGTTACACGTCGTAGGACCGTACACCTCTCGCCAACGTAGTGTTAAGCGAGAAGGGATCGAACTTGTGGCTAGTGTGATGGCATGCAGCCATTGCTAAGAACTTTTAACACTATCAATTTATTACTCAAGGCAGGCATTAATTAATATACTGATTACTGTTACTTATATAGTATATAGTATCATTACTATTGTGACAGTGGGTGTGGATGTGAGTCTGTGTGAGTAAAAGTGGGTGACAGCACTTGCCATGGTGTCAAATCTGTCGAACTTTCTTAGGCTCCTACACGGCTACAGTACACTACAAGGGCGCAAAGTACAGAGAGTCAGAGTATAGGCCTACAGTCTGTCAGTCACACTGTCACTGTCAGTATCAGTGTCACTGACGCTCATAGGGTCTATGTCCCCCAGGGTACTGCCGGAACGTACCCTGGGTACGGTCCTGTATACCGGAACGTACCCTGATAACTATCTAGCTGATATGGTTAGGGTTAGGGTTAGGGTAGCTCTAGTACTATAGCCCGCGTTCGATTAACTGCGGCAGTTAATCGAACGCGGGCTATAGT